TTTGGCATTATTTGAACCAGCTATATGGTCAGCAAAGAGGTTTGTTACCGCAGTCCAAAGTTATTTACTTAATTGTCGATAAGTAGGCATAGACGTCTAATGTTGAACTAAGATTGTATACCTATTTAACATATAAATGCTAATTTATTACATTATTAGTATAAATAAACATAACATCAATCTAAACTATCCTTGCAATAAATTGACCGGATTATCAAGAGAGAGAAAGAGAGAGAGCACACTGTAGTATATATTTATTCTTATTGTTTATTTTTTACTACAGGCATTAAAAGTTTTCGTTTGCACGCGTGTCGTGAGGACGGTTCCTTGGAGGCCCAAATGGTAGAGTTAACATGGGATACAATCACTCGCTGGGAGAGTGATGAAGAATCAATGTCATTTTGTTTTCAATATAATCGTTCAGATAAACCGGCTCGTTGGGTGAAAGTCTACACACCATTCGTATGTATACAATTTTTTTTTTTTTGTTTTATACAATTTCAAATAATTATTTTGAAATATTTTTTAGCATGCTTATCTCGCTGATTGTTTCGATCGAATAATGGAAGAGCGTAAGTGGGAGGATAGCGGTGACTAACGACTAAACTTACATTAGCCATAATTCGAATTTAAATTGTATATTTTAAAAATAATTTTTTTTCTATATTTGCTGATATTTATTTGCATAAGTTGCATAAGTAATAGAACACACGCCTCTTTACTCTCAAATGCTCTCAAATCCACACAACAGCTTAGATTTATAAGTATAAGAAACTATGCGATCAACAACATTTTTAATTTGTATTCAATTTGTTATACACACATCAAAAGCTGAGATATAGAACAAGCGATGTCAAAATTATAGACAGTTAATTATTATTAACATACATTTAATAATAGTAAATTACTAATATGTAATTTTTCATTATTTCATTATAATATATTTTCATGCACATTTATTTTATAAGTATATAATGTATTTGTACTTAGGTTCAATATTCCATTGTAAAAATTTGTTATGTCTAAATTATTTAGTAGTTGCTTTTATCGAATGTATCGAATGTATTATTGTATATTTTTTATGTAAATGTATGCATTTTTGTAGGTTTTTATATTATATTATTTAATATATTTGTTATTTTACATTTATTTGTATAGTACTTTGGGAATATCTGCACCTTTTGTGATTATTGTTAAAACAACAAAATGTATATTTTTTTTATAGTTTCTTTTGAATACTATATTTTTAAAATAATAAAATTACAAACCCTTAAGTCAGTAACAATGACATTTATTGATACTGTTTAATAAACTGAAAAGCCTATAAGTTTCAATTGCTTTAAAGCCAGACAGAATATTATTTATTTCACTTTAGAATATAAATAAACATAAACCATTTCCCTATAAACTATTAAAATTATGCTATTAACTCCTGATATTCAATTTAATGCAATCAGTTTTAAATTATCAGATGATAAAATTTGTTTATACCATAATTTTCAATTTAAATTTCTGCTAAACTACAGCAAAAATATCTGCCGTTGTAGAAAAATATGCAAATTTGCGTGCCGAAAAGCAATATAAGATTAGCTACAGAAATATGGAACACTAAACTGCAATATTTGAATTTTACTAACTACAAAAGATTAAATTATCGTTTTATCGTTGTTAGTTGGTTGTTGTCAGAACCGTTCCAAGAGCTCTATTTAGCTTTTAGAGCTAAATTGAAATTGAGCTAAAATTTAGTATTAAGTTTCAAACACTTTAAATTCGCTTTGTCTAAAATATATGTTGTCAATTTGCCGAAATTTTAAGAAATTATATTTCATAATTGTTGTTGTTTAAATTTAAGATATCAAAACATAAAAAATTGTAAATTTTAAATTATTCTAATAGAAAGCTTAAATAAGAATTGTAACAAATCTTTATGAGTCATGTTAAAAACTGAAACATTATATTTAATTTATTAACACAAATATATGTGTAAATGTACATATATTAACAATATTTAAAAATTATATACAAAAACTATTCGTTTAGAAATTGAACTATTTCAATTGAAATTAAGAAGGAGGAGCTATTTCGAAAGTTGATACAAGTTTAACATAACTGTTGCAATTAAATATTCTATACACGTTAAGAAAAAGCTTTAAAATGAGACATTGTAGACATTTCCAAGAGATCACACTTATATGTATTTATTGTGTATATTTATTTACTTTCTAGTGATATATTGTATGTGTAATTTTTTTTATAATTTATGCTTAAAACCCTTTATTTACTATTTTATTTTAAATAAAAGTATAAATGAAATAAAAACTATCTTAATATTGTGGCCATTAAAAAAACTGACTTATACTTTAAAGATAATTATATAAATATTTAACAAAAAAAACAAAATAAATAAATAAAATATATTTAATCATTCCTCAGAAAATTATTTAATAATTTTTATTTTCAAAATTAATAAATAACACACATTATTTAAATAAAAGTAGTAATGCACCAAAAAATAATGTGAAAAAAAATCAAAAAACATTAAATAAAAACTTAAAAAAGTGAACAATTTCAATTTGAATATTAAATAAAATGTATACTTTATTTTGAACGTATTTTCTGTTTGAGGTATTATATTGTAAAAAATGTCACAAGTTACAGAATAAATCGGCTCAAAAACAAACAGTAAATTTTGAAGTTTTTGTAAATAATTATCTTGAGTTTAGTAAACATAGGCTAGAGCTATTCGAACACCTGCCTAAACAGATAACAGAAAGAAGCGCGTGGGAGCGATTTATAAAAATAAAATTTCATTGGGATTAAGAAAATAAAACTACATATCAAAATTAAAATATGATTTAAGAGCACAAAAAATTTGAGTTTACCTGCCACATTTAGCTTCCAACATTATAATGACCCAAAACATACGGCTATTGATGTGCGTATGTGGCTCGCTCATTATGTAAAACACACATTGCCGCATCCACCTCAATCTCCAGATCTCAACCCCATTGAACATTTGTACGAAGAATTGCATAGACGTCCAAAGAAGCCCATTATAACAACAAAGACAGAACTGAAGGTGGCAATGCTGAAGAGGGGCAAGATGTTGGTCCAAAAATCACACAAAAATTAATTTCTTCGATTCCTAAGGAAATAGTAGCTGTTACTAAATAGAAGAGCTTAGTCACTAATTATTTATTGTTATTGAAAATAATTTTTTTTAATTTGTTTTTTAATTTTTGCGTTAGCTGTGCGAATTATTTTGTTCAGCCAGATTTAATTTTTTTTTGGTTTTTTAATTTTAAAAAATTAAATATAAGAGAAAATAAAATGAATTTAAAAGCAAATTAAGCATTTTGTCAAAATAAAATTTTTTGTTTATTAAAAATCGCATCATTAACAGCATAAAAATAGTGCTAAAGTTCAATTTGCTTGCTGTGCGAATAATTTCGTTCGTCACTGTATGTTATAATAATTATATTGAACTTAAAGTATTAGTATAATATGTTTAATTTAGAGTTCATAAGCATATCCAACACCTAAATTAGTTTCTTTAAAATTTTTTCCAAATCGTTATATAATGAAACTTGGTTTAACCAATTTTAAATATATGCATTTATTTTTTTATATAAAAAAGTTCAGAAAATAATGAAGCGGTTCTAATTTCATTATGAACCTTCTTTTACAAGAAGGTTAACGAAAGTGGTAACGAAAAATAAATAAACCAAAAATTTTGCATTGTTTAGACCTTGCTACTAGGTGTGAAACTTAACATCATTAGCTGTCTTCCACTGCACATATCACAGTACTTTTGAAGTAGTTTTCGAAGACTTTGCGCTACATAGCTGGAAATATCTCGATCGTAATTTAACAGATATTTGTTTCCGTCCAAAGTTTAGGAATTGTCTGCATAATCACTATACTTTACGTAATCCTACAAAAGGGATTCAATCAAGAATTTTGTTATTTGTAACATAACAACAACAGGACGTGTTTTGTTGCTTGTGGCTCCATCTTGTTTAAACCACATATATTCCATATCCATATTCTTCCATTTCAATTGATTATCATGTGACTATACAGTAATTTTTTATTGACACGGTGAATGTTATTTGTTGACAGATCCACCAAACAAAAACAAGAGCTGAAGAAAATTGTTAGGAGATCTATATTAATTGCATCTAAATTGGCAAACTTTAAACTTAACTTATGGTGCCTTGGATGACAATTCAATTTGACATGTCACTAAAGCCATACTGCTAAATTAAGATTAATAAATGGGTAACCCGTTATTATTATATTATATAAATTATTTATTCGTTCAACATATATATATATATATAACCATTTTTTATAATATTTTTTTCTCAAATGATTATTTTTACTATTCTTATTTCAGATATGTAGTGGGCACTATTAATTTAGTATTTAACTATTAAAGTATGTTTCATCATGTATTTTAAATTATATCATTACCTTAACTACATTACTACTACTCGTTATTACGGAAGAATATTATGTTTTTTTATTTTTAATTAAATACAAGCGATTTTTTTATGGTATAAAAATGTACTTCTACACATGTTTTATTTAAATTTTGTTTAATTATATTAATAATTATAAATGTGTTAGAAATATTATTATGAATAATAATAATGTCATATATATACCATCATATAAAAGTTATCAAGTGAAAAAATTCTCGCACAATTAAACCAAAAATAAAAATCTCTGATGATGGATATAAGTTAGAATATGAAAAAGACCAAAGTTATTTTCTAATTAAATAAATTTTTTCAATTTTATCATGTATTATATTCTAAATACATTTTTCTGATTTACATTTGATTTTAATGCATTATTAACCAAAAAAAATTTAATATATTTTAAAATTCGAACAACACGAAATATTAGTTAAATCTTAAATTGTTTTTCTTGTATTATTTATGTTTTAAAAGTACATATATAAAAATAATTTATAAATGATATAAGATGCTTACTAATCAAATATAAAAAATAATCAATACTTAAAAATACTGTCGATGTATCATACATATGTAATCTTTGACACAATTATTAACGCTATAAAACCCTCATGTTTGGAGGGCATTGTCTTTGTCACAAATTATAACGACATACAATTTCACTATATAATATCTTAAACGAAAATAACTTATATATTAGTTAAAATATGAAAAAACATATACTATTTTGCACCATATAATTTATTCCATTCGACAAAACTTGTTATATCTTCCTCGGTAACACTGGGTCGCACATGATCTAAGGCCGCTTTAAAATCATCAATATTAACGGGTCGAACCTTTTAATAAATTAATTTAAAAATTTATATGTTGATACAAATTTTGTTTGTTGTTCTTTACCATATCTTTTCCGACGGTAGCAAATTGATCAAATGGTATAGCTCGAATTGGACCCATTGCTGCCTCTTGACTTAAACTGTTTAAATCAGCTCCAGAATAACCTTCTGTTAATTTACCAATTTCCAGCAGGTCATTAGCGTTTAAATCGTTTTCAATGGGTTTGAACAAATTGGAAATAAGATTTATACGCCCTGCTAATTCTGGCAACGGTATGTAGAGACGCCGAACCAGGCGTCGACGCATAGCGTGATCTAAATCCTGTGGTCTATTTGTTGCGCCAATTACAAAAATACGATCATCTTCCTTTGTGCGCACACCATCGAATTGTATTAGAAATTCAGTCTAACGAAAAATATAAAAATATATAATTTTTATATAAAAAAAAAAATAAATAAAAGCAATAATATATGGTATAAGGAAATAATTTAGTTAATTTAACATTTAGAGAATTTTTAGTTTTGTTATACTGAACCTTTTCGTCATTTTATGGTATTATATTTTGTAATTGTTTGCAGATTGGCATCAATCATAAGCATTGTTTTTAGGGATAGTCTAGCAAGTCTTATCCGATATGTAATTTTGAGTACTTAATATCAATTGCTAGAATGCTGGGTTTAAGGGTATCAAATTTTTTTGTACATAACATTAAATTAATAATTTCTGAAACTAAGAAACTAAACATAAGTTATTATGTTTATATTTTATTTAAAATTTGTGAAATCCTTTAAAATCCACTATAAAATTATCACAATTAAAAAATACGTCTTTATTGCTGAAATAGCATCGTTATGTATTTCGTATAACCTTAATAATTATTTAAGAATATAATAATTTCTAAAATTTTTAGTTGAATTGGTGTGAATGGATTAAAACATAAACTTTGAGACATAAACTTACTTTTATTCTACGGGCACTTTCATGTTCACTATCAGTACGCTGGCAAAGTAATGAATCGATCTCATCAACAAATATCACCTAACAAATT